TTTGTTTTTTTAACAAGTTGGAAAACATTTATATATTTTCTTTAAAAAATTTAAATTCATAAAATTTATATAATTTTTTTACAAAATTGAAAATATAAAAAGGTTTAATGAAAGGGTAAAATGTTATTTTAACCCCTGAACTTCATATAAAATTTTAATTATAGATTTTTTTGTAAATCTAAAATAGTTTAAGGATAAATTTGTAATTTAACTTTCGTAGAATTTTTATTATTCAATGACAGAAGAATGATATTTTTGAAAAAAAAAATTAAGGGTATTTTAGTCCAAAACATCGGTAATCCAATAATACCTAAGGAAATGGAGGTAATGACATTCCCGGTAATATATCACAAAAAATCTACTATTGGTAATCTTACATTACCGGGAATAAAATTACCGGATTAACCAAACGGGGGAATGTGGATTCCATTCTCATAAGAATCCCACATTCCCCCATCCAAATACCCCCTTGAGTCTAACCGTGAATTATCATACATGCATGTATTATTAAGATAATTAAATTTTAAAAAAAAACAGTAAATAGTTAGAAACACAAATATGCACAAAAGTTTAGTAATTCTTAATTATATATTATCAAACTTCTTTAAGTTACAACTTATAATTTTATTAACAATTTTAATTAGAACCATCATTAAAAAAAAGAATTGAATAAGTAATTAACAATTAACTGTATTCTATATATATTTATGAATTTGAAAAGAAAAAAAAGTAAATGACACATTTGTCCTGATTTTAATGATGCTTGTAAAAAAATATTATCGTTACCGTCAGTACATATATATATATATATATATATGATAATATGCATATATAAAAGAATAATTAACTCAAATCAAACTAATTCATCAAAATAAATTTAGAGATAAATTAAACTTACACGTAATAGAATTTAAATATGAGATTTTAAAGTTCCCGAAAATATATTTGTTATCGTTAAATTAAAATCTCATTGACATTTACTATGAAATATTTTTGAGTTAAAAATGTAAGCTCATTAAAATTATTTAAAAATAAATATAGTTAATATTTGGTTGTACGTTTATAATTAGGTCCAGAGTGTTGAATTGAAAGTATTTATGACCAGTTTCTGTATTCAAATAAGACCATAATTAAGACCTTCCTTCACAACGGTAAACAGCGACGCAATCAAAGTGCATAGCCCTTAATTTGGGACGGGTACTCTCTGGTTTCCCATTAAGCCGAAGGAAAATTGCCTCCAAAGGGGGATAATTCAAAACATGTTGAATAATTCAATTTAGACTTGGAATTGAATTGCCCAAAAATTGGATTTTTTTTGTTTGGAGTACGTATATTGTTATATATGTTTTAAAAAATAAAGCTACTTTTATGATTTAATTGGCAAAATTAAACATAACGTATATGTGATAGAAAAAGTCACATTTTAAGGAAAAAATATAAAGAGTTGGACCTTATAGTTCCAAATTATCCAATTTTATTGTTTAAAGCTATTCATAAACTTCAAAAACTACTGCGTTTAAAAGATAAAATAAATCCTTTTCCCCTTATGTTTCTCTATGTGCCGTTGATTTCTTTTCTATTTTTGTTTGACCGGTAACATTGTTAATCTTAGTGTTGGTCGACCGTCGTTACTGTTTCTTATAGGGTAAAATACATCAGTAGTCACTAATATTTGAGTAAGTTTTTATTTCCCCATTGAAGTTTTAAAAATAACAAATTAGTCATTAACATTAACGATTTGTAATAAATAGTCACTAACGTTATCGATTTGTAACAAAATGATCACTCCATTGTTACCTCCATTAAATTGATGATGTGGCAAAGTTAATAAAAATGTTAATATTTAGTTTTACCCCTAAACTGTTGCTAAAACATCAAATAAGTCCTTAAGCAATGATTTTATAATCTAATTTATCCTAAATTTTTTCAAATTTATAATTTTTTTCAAACACCCCACCACCACAACTATATTCGAACCACATTTCTTACAATACGAAAACCACACTACATAGATAAATGAAGTTTTTCCATTAAAGACAAATACACGAGTATTTAATGCCATATATTCAATTAATTTTAATGTAAAAAATAATGCTTTTGGGATGGTTTTCATTTCGTAAGGAAAGTGGTTAGAATATTTAAAGACAAACGAGAGTTTGTTTAAGTGTGGTTCTCGTTTTGTAAGAAAAGTGGTTAGAATATAATTGAGACGGTGGGGTGTTTAAAGAAAACTAAAAATTAGAAAGCTTTTGGCATAAACTAGATATAAAATCATTATTTAAGGACCTATTTTTAGTAATAGTTTAGGGGTAAAACTAAATGTTAACATTTTTTATTAACGGTGCCACATCATCAATTTAACAGAGATAAAGGTGAAGTGACCATTTTGTTACAAATTGATAACTGTAGTGACAGTTTTGTTACAAATCGATAACGTTAGTAACTAATTATTTAGTTTTGAAACTCTAGTGGGGAAAACAAAAACTCACTCAAATATTATTGACCATCGGTATAATTTACCCTTTCTTATATTACATCTTTGTTTCCCTTTCGATTTTTAGTTTTTAATAAATATGTTATTACGGCACGTTTTTCTCTGCTTTTATAACACGTTTTCTAAATAATTGAGTGACTAAAACTTAACTGCGGAAATAATGGGGTGACTAACACATAATTTACCCTTTATTTTATTATCTAAATAATAAATTAGTGGGATTAAATTGAGACGCGGTGAATGAATACAGATATAGAACACAAATAAATTGAATGGATGACAAGGTTATAACCTAGATGAAAGATGAACTGATTTTGGAAAGTGAAAAATAGTATTGGGTTTGATTCGGTCCTCCTTACTGACAGCAAATCTGAGACTTAGTAGTTGCTGTTTAGCCCAACTTTTGTGGTCATATGTAAGAACTCCAAAATGTTGAAATCTAATTAAACTTGTATTTTTTAATTAATCACTGATATTCGATATGTTGATCGACAATCCAAATAGGGTATTGTAGAGGTGGGATGACTCTCCCAATCTAGTTTACTCCATTTACAAACGTCAAGATTCGAACCTTTAACGTTACTTAAAGAATTTAGTGTCTCATCCACGTCATCTTTCCCAACTAGTCTTTGGCCTGATAAATGAAAATTTGATTTAGCATGTCACCCCATTTGTCTTGCTTTGGTTGGTCAGCAGAAGAAACAAGAAGGAAAAATGATGGTACCGATTTTCTCATCTGTGAAAGTCTAGTCACGACCCTAAAGTTGTCCATAAACTTTCCTCGATTGGAACTTACTAAAAGCACGCCGTTGATGGTTAATGGCAATATTGGTGAAATTGTAGGGGAAGAAGATATATTGTGATGAAGAATCTCATTATAGTTTGCATTATTCCAAGGGAAAGCTGCAATTGGAAATGATATATTTATGTTTCTTTATAAACTATATGATGTTTGATTGGTCGGACATCATGTACCATAAATCAATAATATAACAGGGAGAGTGGATCTTAAATCTTTACTAACACCAAAATGTTACAACTTCCAGCTCAGCTTTGATATCTAGCTGTCTCACAGTTGGCTCCAAGCAAATTCTACCTACCCATATTGTCCCGTTGGAAATTTTCTGGCTAAATGAGACTAATATTACGGTTTTAAAAAAAATAAAATATCAACAACTTTTAATAAAACAGTAATCTCTAAAGCTTTTAAAAATTATATGAAATAACATAATATAGAAAAACATTGATTTAATAGAAAACGATAGCTAAGTTACCCAATGATTTTTATGTCAAGTCGATACCTATAAAATAAATTCAAATATCAATAACACCCAAAATAAGAAAATATATGCATAGAAAATAAAAATAAGGAAATTAACGGTTAGACGAATGAAATGAACAATTTCTCTAACGACGACGATTAAATTGAGAGAATTTTTGTGTGTGACCAAAATATAAGTGTCTTAAAATGAAGTGACCATCTTGATAGTTTACCAGAATATTTAAAATCTTTTAATATGTAGTAATTGTTACCTAATATAACAATCCAAGATAAAAATTGAAATTGAGAAAATAAATAGAAGAAATTCAACTTCTTTAAAAATTAAAGTAAAATAAATAGAAAGAAAAATACTTTTTTATTTTAATTTTTTGATCGAAAACAATTTTCTTGAGATAGATTTTCGGAGACTCCTTACGTGTTCAAGATCTTTTGGTCACCTGTCTCCTTAAATACAACAACTCGATTCGAGATCGTTTGCATATTGATAGATTTTTGGCGACTCCTTAGGTGTTCAAGATCTTTTGGTTATCTGTCTCCTAAGATACAACAACTCGATTCGAGATCACAAACTATTTCTTGCCTTTGCCTATTACTGGAAAACTAGAGAACGAGAGAAAATATTTTTTAAAGAAAAGTAAAAGTTCTTAAAGTGTGAGATATGAAAAACCCAACAGGTTAACTAAATATTTATAGGAGATTTTTAAGAGAAATTTAGTCAAACATATATTTTTTAATATTCAAATTTAAAAAGATAATAATATCTTTTAATTTGAAATATTCAAAAGATATAAACAATTTTTTATTATTTAAACTTAAATAAATATTATTTTAATTGAAAATATTTAATAGTATATAATTAATTTTTAAAATTAAATAGATAGCAAATACATTTGAATTTAACATATTTAAAATAATAATTATCCTACTAATATTCAAATTAATTTTTTTTAATTTGTAATATAAAAAGAATATAAATTTAATATAAAAATTAAATCTATTAATAAAATTCACTCTTTTTCCAACTGTAATTGAATAAGATTATCTGAACTCATTGATTATGATAACATAATCACTAAAAAAGTTGTAGTAATTTTGTGGGGCTTAAAAGAAAATATTGATGAATTACTTGTAGGCGTTTCACGTTCCAATCAATCTGTGCACGTGCAAAACTTCATCATCTTCGGCTGGCTTTCCATCCACCTTTCTCTTTCATTCACGTTCATTTACGGTTGTTCATCTTTTCAAACAAAATCTACTTCTTCGACGATTATGACCAGCACTTTCATTAACTCTTCACTTCAAGCTTTGCACTTTGTCCAATACTTTCCCAATAAACACCAAAACCAAACCCAAAGAAGGTTGGACTTTACTTCAAGAATATCATTGCTATGCTTTTTGTTTGAATTTCTCTATCAATGGACTCAAGTACTATCCTTGATCACGCTTTATTTCAACTCACTCCAACTCGAACTAGGTAAGCTACGATTGATATTTGCACTTTCTTATAATGAAAGAACTGAACTGAGTCTTTTGTTGTTGTTGAAGATTTGATCTGGTGCTCTTCTACGAAGGAAAGAATGAGAAACTTGATTCTGGGCTTTTTGAACCCTTCATTAGTCATCTCAAATTTGCAAGAGATGAGATTTCACAAGGTGGGTATTCGATTACTTTGCAGCCACCTGCTCCTGGTACACTCTGGTTCACCAAAGCTACTTTTGAGAGGTAATTCGCTACTCACTCCTGATTCATTCGAGTTGAAATTTAATTTGCAATGAGTAGCATAGTTTATTGATCTGATTTCTGTCTGCCCCAAAATTCTTATCTATACATTTATTCTTAGATTTCTTTGTATGAACAAAATCCATTTCGATGCTAATTCAACTACAAAACTCAAGTCTTGGCCAACCATCTGGGAATTCAGTCTACTTTTAGACTAATATTTTTTTGTTGTTGCTTGTTTTGTAGATTTGTGCGCTTCGTTTAGTACACCAGCAGTTCTCGAAAGGTTTGTCACCATAGAAACAGAAATCTTGAAAATTGAGAGATCAATTCAAGCTAATGCCAATGGTAGACAGGAGGAAGGTATGCTCAATGACTTCAATTTTTGCTACCAAAAGTTCCATTTTGCACAATTCTATTTGTTGGTTTAAAATAAGAACTGCATATCAGTTTAGTTTAAAAAATCTGCAATGGAACTCCTAATTGATTTGTTTTTGTCATATGGGTCAGATGCAAATGGTCATACAAAGAAGTCAACTGATTTGACAAAGGTATTCCTTTTACGTTTTTTTTTTGAATAATTCATAAACTCAATGTGATCTCCCCCCCGCCCCGCACACCAAAGAAATTCACATCTTCTGTTTTTCAAGTGTTTGATATTATTCTCTTGCGTATGTTTATCACCAGGCGAAGGGTGAACTCAAGACAAAAGATGAGATTAAACAGGAAGAGAACTCCAAGTAACTAATTTTATCCTTGAATGACCTAATTTTGGTGATACCAAGTCTCACTCCCAGTGCATTGGATACCCTTGATTTGATTAATTCGGTCATTTTCGTGACTAGGGTTCAACTTCAACGGCTACTGGAAACTCGAAAAGCCTTGCTCTGGAAAGAGCAAGCAATGACTTATTGACGCCAGACAGAATAGTGATTATCCTGTAGGCTAGCTCCGACAGACGATTCACAAGAGAAAATTCGCCCAAAAACCAGAGAAAAAAAGTCTCTAGGGTTTAATAAAATATTATAAAATCAATAACTGTCAAAAGCAGTCCACAAGCCGGACTGTTATAGCTAAAAAAATCGTCTTTATTCGAATTTTGCCAAAAATAGCAAAAATCGTATTTATTCGAATTTTGCCAAAAATAGCAAAATCCCGAAAATCACTCTAAATTGAAATTCGAAATAAAATAAGCAATCTCCCAAAAATCCGGTCTAAATCGGATTTAAATTGACTTCCTAATTAACAATCGAAATATTACCATAAATAGTAAAAAATAACTAAATCTAGTGATTCGGAGGGGAAAACGGCAGAATTTGAGGTTGAAAAAAAGGCCACATGGAGCGTAGCTCAATGTGGAGAGCGTGCGCGTCGAAAAGAGCTTTCCGGATTGGGGTCTTATGCGCGATTCTGACACCTGTAGCCAAAGTTATGGCCAAAAGACTGAAACATACTCAAAACGACCCCAATAAGGAACATGTCACAATCAATTCCCGCCTTTGCGCTGATCTGCCAACTCATGGTATCTCAGCGCCATCAACGTGCAATCTGACAGCTCAGCATCATCTGTCTCAGATCCCCTGCATCAGTCGCCCCGGGTTGGAAAGAACTCGTCCTCGAGTTCAGAGTAGTGTCATCAGGATCCACAAAACAATGACTCAGGTGCTTCACATTAAAGACATCAGAAGTCTTCAAGTGACTGGGAAGTCGCAACCTGTAAGCATTATCATTGATCTTCTGCACGACCTCACAAGGTCCAATCTTCCGATCCTTAAGCTTATTATACTCACCAACAGGAAAACGATCACGAGTTAATACAGCCCAAACAAAATCACCAACATCAAAAAGTACCTGACGACGATGATTGTCGACCCGAGTCTTGTACTTGGTATTGCTCTCATGAATGGTCTGTTTCACCTGCTCATGGATACCCGAAGATACTTTGCCATCTCATCTGCTTTAGGACTGAAACGTCCTATACGTGGAATAGGGGCTAAGTCCAACACCCCGGATGGGTTCTGACCATAGACAATCTCAAATGGGCTTAAACCTGTGGTTCTGTTTTTTGATCTGTTGTAGGCAAATTCTGCCTGAGGCAATGCCAAATCCCACTGCTTCGGCTTCGTTCCTGCCAAACACCTTAAAAGGTTTCCCAAACTTCGGTTCACCACCTCAGTCTGGCCATCCGTCTGGGGGTGGTAGGCGCTACTGAAATTCAACTGCGTTCCCAGTTTCCCCCACAGGCTCTTCCAGAAATGACTGATGAACTTAGTATCACGATCTGAAGTGATGGATCGAGGAACACCATGTAAACGCACAATCTCCTTGAAATAGAGATGGGCAATCCGGTCAGCATCCATAGTCTTTCTGCAAGCTACAAAATGAGCCATCTTGGAAAACCTGTCAACCACAACAAAGATAGAATCAGAGGCCCTTTGGGTGCGGGGTAAGCCTAGTACAAAATCCATGCTGACATCGAACCAAGGAGCTTCAGGAACAGGTAAGGGAGTGTACAATCCCGCATTGGTGAGAACTCCCTTAGATCGCTGGCACACATAACAACGGTCCACATAATGGGCCACATCACTAGTCAACTTGGGCCAATAAAATTCAGAAGAGATAAGGGCCAATGTCTTATCTCGGCCAAAGTGTCCCTCATTATGGAGTTCACTTATAATTTGCTGCCTCAATGAACAATCTGGAATGCACAATTGTAATCCACGAAACAGATACCCATTATGCAAAACAAAATCATGACGGTGACCCTCAGTTACCTCCTGAAATATCCTTCCAAAGGAAGGATCAGCTGCATACATATCTGTGAACGTCTCAAATCCTGCAACTTTAGTACTCATGGTGGTGAGAAGTAAGGTACGACGGCTCAGGGCATCTGCGACGCGGTTCAAACTCCCTGCTTGGTGCCTCAGCGTAAAAGTGAATTCTTGCAAGTATGCTACCCACTTGGCATGACGTCTACTCAGCTTGTGTTGGCCATTGATGTACTTCAAGGCCTCATGATCGGTAAACAGAATAAACTCCTTCTGTACTAGGTAGTGACGCCAATGCTTCAGGGACTGAACTATGGCATAGAACTCCAGATCATAAGTGGAATAATTTTTCTTTGATCCCGATAGCTTCTCACTGAAAAAAGCAACCGGACGACCTGCCTGACTCAGAACACCACCAATGCCAACGCCAGATGCATCACAATTTACCTCGAACACTTTGTCAAAATCTGGAAGTGCCAAAACTGGAGCCTCGGTCATCTTCTGCTTGACCAGTTGAAAACTGGCCTCTGCCTCCTCAGACCACTGGAAATCACGCCCTTTGAGGCACTCTGTGATAGGGGCGATCAGAGTACTGAAATTTCTAATGAATCGACGGTAAAAAGACGCCAAGCCATGGAAACTTCGGATGTCATGTAATGTTCTTGGTCTGGGCCACTCCAAGACTGCATCTATTTTTGACTGATCTGCATGAACACCATCAGTAGACACAACAAAACCAAGAAAAGTCACAGAAGTAGTGAAGAAAGAACACTTCTTTTGATTGACAAACAAGCACTCCGTTTTCAGCATCTCAAAAACAGCACGGAGGTGATCGAAGTGTGAAGTCCATGTCGGACTATAAACGAGGATATCATCGAAGTAAACTACAACAAATTTCCCCATAAAAGGCCGCAAGACCTGATGCATAAATCTCATGAATGTACTGGGCGCATTGGATAACCCAAAAGGCATGACCATCCACTCATACAACCCTTGTGGCGTTTTAAACGCCGTCTTCCACTCATCTCCAGGCCTTATTCTGATTTGGTGGTAGCCGCTCTTAAGGTCAATTTTTGAGAAGATCTTAGAACCAGATAGCTGATCCAACATATCATCTAGACGGGGAATTGGAAACCGGTACTTCACTGTAATTCTGTTGATCGCTCGGCTGTCAACACATACGCCAAGAACCATCTTTCTTTGGCACTAACAGAGCAGGGACTGCACATGGGCTCATACTCTCTCGGATATAGCCCCTCTCCAACAACTCTTCCACCTGTCGCTGCAACTCTTCGGCCTCCTTGGGACTGAGGCGATATGCTGGTCGATTTGGCAAACTTGACCCAGGAACAAGGTCAATTTGATGCTGAATATCCCTCATAGGTGGTAGTCCAGGAGGAAGATCCTCTGGCATCAAGTTAGAGAATTCTGCTAGCAACCGCTGCACCTCTACTGGTAAATCTGTATCCACGTCTACTGCATTGTTCTCGCAAGGTAGCAAGGCATAGACCACGTCGCCATGCTCAATCTCATCTAAAAACCTGGACATAGAAAGCAGATTAGTATTATGGGTTACTGGGGTAGGAGTAAGTCCTTCCCGCCGGGGTGCCAACACAATCTTTTTTCCCTTGATGCTAAGGGAATATGTATTCTTCCGTCCATCATGAATGACACTGCGATCATACTGCCAAGGTCGACCCAACAATATATGACACGCATCCATAGACACAACATCACACCAGGCATTATCAAAATATTTTCTACCAATTGAAAAAGACACCAGGCATCGCCTATCAACTGTTACCTCACTGTCTTTATTTAGCCATGACAACTTGTATGGCTTAGGATGACGGTCCGTCTTCAACTGCAATTTCTGGACAACCTCCTCGGACACTACATTCTCACAACTGCCGCTGTCAATGATCATTTTGCAGACTTTATCTGCAACTGTGCAAGTCGTGTGGAAAATATTGGTTCTCAACCAATCGTCCCCTGAATCGCCCTTGGGGGTAAGTAGACTCTTGCGAACGACCAGAGTCTCATGACCATCTCCATATAGCACATCATCAGTCTCATCATCGTCATACACAGGTTCGCCAATCTCCTCATTCTCGTCTTCCACGTTTTCCTCAATCAACAAATTTTTGCCCTTTTGACTAGCAGGCTTCCTGCAATCAGTCACCCTATGCCCTTGTTCACCACAACGAAAACATCTAATAGTAGGGTTAGAATTACCCTGCGGTGGCTGCTGAGCAGGACGGGACTCTTGAGGGCGAACTGGTCGACTGTTGTGATCGCTCCTGATCACTGGTCTCCTGTTTTGCTGTTTTTCAACAGCAAGTGCACGCTGGTATGCTTCCGAAACACTCCACAATGAATGAAGGCTGAGGACATCTTGCAAGGGCTGGCGTAAACCCCCCAAATATCGCGCCACCATCTGCTCCTCCGTCTCAGATAAATCGTTCCGGGCGACCAATTGGTAAAACTCCTCCGTGTAATCATCGACTGATCGCGCGCCCTGCCTCAACGCATGAAGTCGCTGAAATAAGGTTTGCGTGTAGCCGAAGGGAAGGAAGTGGCCCTTCATCTTCTTTTTCATCTTCTCCCAATCAGTGATCTTGGCTTTGCCCTGTCTTTCTCGTGAACGTCGTAACTGTTCCCACCACGCAGATGCTCTGCCCTTGAGTTTGATGGCGATCAGTTTCACTTTCACACGATCGGGGACTTCCTTATATTCAAAAATACGCTCCACTTCATTAATCCAATCCACGAATCCCTCGGCCTGTAATGTACCAGAAAACTCAGGGAGATCGACCCGAAAACCGAGGTCTCCATGACGCTCCTCCCGACCACGGTACTCCCGGAATCCTGCGCCCCGGAATCCTGCGCGATTGTGATATGGGTTTTCGAAAGTGGAATTTGTATCGTGATCAGAGGCCTCACGATCCTCTAAATCCTGCGCCGCTAGGCGCTGGGTTAATTCTGCGACTTGCCTCTGCAAATCCGCAATCATCACATCCTGAACGCTGCGATCACGGCGTTGGGCTTCCTCATTCGGAACCTGCTCACGACGACCACGACCACGACCTCCAGCCATTGAAACTGGTGAAATTTCCCAAGAAGATGTTGAAGCTCTGATACCAACTGACGCCAGACAGAATAGTGATTATCCTGTAGGCTAGCTCCGACAGACGATTCACAAGAGAAAATTCGCCCAAAAACCAGAGAAAAAAAGTCTCTAGGGTTTAATAAAATATTATAAAATCAATAACTGTCAAAAGCAGTCCACAAGCCGGACTGTTATAGCTAAAAAAATCGTCTTTATTCGAATTTTGCCAAAAATAGCAAAAATCGTATTTATTCGAATTTTGCCAAAAATAGCAAAATCCCGAAAATCACTCTAAATTGAAATTCGAAATAAAATAAGCAATCTCCCAAAAATCCGGTCTAAATCGGATTTAAATTGACTTCCTAATTAACAATCGAAATATTACCATAAATAGTAAAAAATAACTAAATCTAGTGATTCGGAGGGGAAAACGGCAGAATTTGAGGTTGAAAAAAAGGCCACATGGAGCGTAGCTCAATGTGGAGAGCGTGCGCGTCGAAAAGAGCTTTCCGGATTGGGGTCTTATGCGCGATTCTGACACCTGTAGCCAAAGTTATGGCCAAAAGACTGAAACATACTCAAAACGACCCCAATAAGGAACATGTCACAATCAATTCCCGCCTTTGCGCTGATCTGCCAACTCATGGTATCTCAGCGCCATCAACGTGCAATCTGACAGCTCAGCATCATCTGTCTCAGATCCCCCTGCATCACTTATGCTCGTGGGCTGGTTGCCGGGTTTGCAATGGAAAATATAGAACATCTCATTTCCTTTGCAGATGCATTTGGAGCATCCAGGTTAAGGTCTGAAACATTAACTATAAGTATTTGAATAGGACTCTGCCTTCATATTTCATCTCATATTCTTCTTTTCATTACATATGCTATTAACTCACACTAGGAATTAAAGTTGCATCTTTATCTGTTCATGACAAACTTTTTTTCTGTACCTGAAAGTTTCTTTGAAGTAGCTTTCTCCTGACATTCAGCCCACTTAGGGTCTTATAATTAAGCATTGTTTATTTTCAGGGAAGCATGCATTAATTTCAAGGAATTATGCAAGAAAAAGCATGCAGACCGTCTATGGATGGAAGAATTAGCTGCAGTTGAGGCATGCTCATCATCAGAACTGCCATCATTGGGAACATCCGGCATTGTGCTTGCAAATGGAATAAGCATCCCTAATCCGAGTCTCATGTCGAGTTTCCCCATTAATGGTGCATCTAACGGTGATCACGCTTCAAACGAATCTTCAGAAGCATCAAAATCTGACACAACATGTGCTGGAGCTGTGGACAGCAAGAAAGGTATCTCAGAGGCTTATAGCTTTTCCTTGCCTTTCCATCACAGCTTCACAACAACCATGCTTATAGAATACATCCCATTATCATCATCATTTCTGCTGACTCACCTGCACTTGTCTGTATAAATGTGAAGCATTTAACTGATTCCCACTCTGGATACAGTCTTCTTACTTGACATATTGGCAAGGCATCCATAAGTCCTCTCATACTTCACTGAATTTGAATTGTACTTTCGGATTAGAATCTCTTGTTTGCGCTAAATATGAAAGTTGTTTACATTCCAAAAGATAATATTTGGTTCCTATGATGTAAATTCAGATGAGAATTTGCCTGCATCAGATCATACAGCATCATCAACTACCACAAAATATCAAGTTCCAAAGCAATGGCTAAATCAGATGCCTCAGCATTGTATAATTTTCAAGGCCAGCTACCTCAATATCAAGGATATCCCTTCCATCCTATGCAGCCTGTGCCACTTCCATATCCAATGAATATGCAGTGGCCTCCTAATTCGAATCAGAATTCATCCTCCAAGCTAAAGAAGAAATCGTCGAATGGGAAAAAGCTTGATTATTCGGGAGAAGAAAGGGAAGCAGAATCCAGTGGCTCTGACTCTGGAACTGGAAGCGAGTCAGGTTCAGACGTGGAACAGGAAGATAGAAGGCATTCATCACCAGATCCTCCATATAGGAAGAAAAACCATAAGAAGTCATCTAGAACAGTTGTCATTCGTAATATTAACTACATCACTCCGAAGAGGAGAAGCGGAGAGAAAGATCAAGCGTCGGATGGATCTTATTCTGGTGAGGATGATCTGATTGATGCAGATTCCTTAAAACAGAAAGTGGATGATGCAGTCAAGTCACTGAAGGAATCAGGCAAATCAAACTCAAGTAACAACAAAAGAAGAGGCGCAGACAAGAGCCACAACATTGCAGAAAAATCAACCGTTGCTTATTTTGAGAGAGATTCAGATGATCATGAGCTAAACGCATCAGAGGTGGGGAAAAGAAACGGGACCTGGGATGCTCTCCAAAACCTTCTAATGTCTGGTGAAGAAAATGCAAGTGTGAAGGAAATAGAATGGAAGCAAGCTGAGGATGTTCAAGAACATTTCATGGCTAGAAACCTCCATGGTGAAATTTCTGCAACTACTCCTTTGAACTTCGAATCTCAGAAAGTTCCAATTAAACGGACAGGTTTGATTGATTCTTTTGTGGTGACTGAGAGGGATGAGAACAATGAAAATAGGCTCAAGTTGGATGACTTTGTTAATGGAGAGAATTATCTTCCAATCATGAAGAAAGGGGACTGTATAGAAGTGGATTTGTTACCTCCAGAGAGATCGGCTGAATCCGGAAAGAAGCTTGGTGATCCCATATCTGCTTCTGCAAATGAGTCGGCAATAATCAGGTGTGGAGAGGAAGAAGATTGGTTTGTTGGAAATCATCCCATGAACCCCTGACACCACCATTCATCCAATAATCAGATGCTTTTTAATGGCTCTCATATTTTATCTGTTGAGAGTGATCCTCTATATTCTCAGAAGAGTAGGAAAGATGTTGTCGTCGACGATTCTTTCATGGTAGCAGCTCGGCATACAGGTGATGATCGGAATGATTCCCAATGGAAAACAGATATAAGTATGGTTGCAGATCTAACTTCACCTGGCAAACCAGATGGCACAAAAGATGTTTCACAAGACAAGCATAAGATACTTGACGCCGAGCCAATTGACCTTTGCATGGTGCTTGAACGAAACCCTGGGTACGAATCCTCCAGAGACTCCTGGACAGTGGATTATCAAATTGATTTATCATTTACTGAAACAAATAAAAGTGAAGCTAGCAGATGTGATGATGATGAGAAAGCTTCTGCCAATCATAAGAACACCATTGCCAAGCGTAATGAAGTCCAGAGAACAAAAAAGCCAGCCAAAGAAGCAAGGTCTAGAGTTTTAAATGGACCCACAGGGAGAAACAAAGCTGAAAATGTGTCCAAGAGCAAGAAACCATCTCTTATTAGTAGGCTCGTTACTCAGAAGAGCAAGTTGGAGAAGGTAATGGTTAATATATCTTCCAAGTACAAACCAAGTATAAACCCTTTTCCCTTTATTAATTTCTTTATAGCTTCTAATGCTAATATGCTTATCACCAGGAAGAAGAGATGCGGAGGAAGATGGAAGAACAACTGATTGAACGGCAGAAAAGAATTGCGGAGAAAACTGCGGCTTCCGCTGTATCTAAGAAATCACCATTAGCAGAAGGTTCCATAAAGATTGACAAGAACAAAAATAAGTCCACTGCTCAAGCAACCAACAGGAACAGGGAATTTTCTATCAAACCCAGAGCAACTTAAGAAAGAAGCCTCAATAGATCCTTCATCTTATGAACGTTTGAGATATGGCTCCGACCCTTCACATTTTGAGGAGGATTGGATTCAAGTCTGAAATCTCTCGAGCCAAGTGAATTTGCATGGAACATGCACTGCACATCATATCATCCAAAAGTTAGATCCTCATGCACCTCACCCTACACATTGTCAATACTTCGAAGTTACACTTGCAGTTCATTCCACCATTGTTTGTTTTAATTAAGTTATAAGTTTTTTCTATTGTGAATGCCAGTCTTTTTTGTGTTGTAAAACACAGTTTCTTCCGTTTGTAATTTGTACTCCCCATATTTATACTTTAAAAATGTTCGACCTAAATCCATTTTTCTAACACAATTAAAGATAAATCTTAAAATTTTGTGAAATGATATCAACTTTAAATTTATATATTAAATTTTGATTTAATATTTGCACAAACAACTAATCATCTCACTGATTTGATATCATTAAATTAAAAATTTATGTATAAATTTAAATATTTGGCCCATTCAATTAATCTAACTTTTGAGATATTTGTTTGTAAGAAGAAGAAAAAACTTTGAAATATTTGAATCCTTCATACGCGAGCTGTTCGTTCATAAATGAAATGGTTCATTTGGTTTGTTTGCTCAAGATCCAGCATGTGAATTTGAAATTTTTAAAAAGTATAAAAAGTTATTGCTTTAAATTTAAAATATGGTATTTTAAATTGGGTCTGATTGGAGTATTGAATTCGCGGTATTACCGCATAGGACAAAGAGAAAGTCAGCAAAATGATTTCCCACGCATTAGAAAGGTTAGATTATGCATTGTTTTAAGTTTTAATTGATTTTTTTCCTTTGAAAAATGTTAATTATGTTTTCCTTTAAATATCACGTTATTGTAGGAAAAGAGAGAATCTAGGAGCCTTATCACTTTGGCCTTTGCTTGGTGGCTTGCTAATTAATTAGATCGGCACCCTTCCAAATAAAAATTCCAAGAATTTTGGTTAGTTCAAGATTTGCGAATTTGGGATTTTTATTTGATATAGAAAAGAAAAGCTTAGGCCTTTTCCCCCCTTTTTGTATGCAGAAAGTTCTATCTTTTCGTTCCTTGCCTTTCCAAAGACAGATAATTGTTATAATTCTTGCGTTAGATCTGGAATGAATTTTCTTCAACCTGTTGTTCAGATAATGTGTAGGAGAAGATTAGAGGAAACGATGCTGAGAAATTTGTTTGTCTTTAATATCGTTTAAGATGCTATATTACTGTAAATTCTGAACCCAAATTTAGTGCTTTAGTACGGTTGTGTTTAGTTACGGTGATTGCATTGAAGAATTATAATTGTTGATTCTCTTTATGGATGAGATTTGGGCAGGGTGGTTGTTGGTTTTATGATCATAGACTATATGCTTCTTTCAAGAGCAGCTGAAATGTTTGATGAAATGACAAATGTTTGATGAAGTGACAAATGTTGTAACTGTGATTTACACACTCCATACAAAGTCGATGGATTCAACTTAAACTTTGACTCCAGCTTGAAAATCAATATACTAATTATTAAAAATTTCGAGTTATTCGATTTGTAAAAACAACTGGATTTGAACTTAAAAGTTTTTTCAAGACGAATTGAGTTTATGAAATTACAATTCGAGTCAGCCGAAAAAATTGGTTAGTTTCACTATGCCTAGCTTCATGGTGTCAAGCAAAATATGAGTTTGTAGAAGTATCAATATTGCATATTGGTTTGTTTCAAGGAATAGATTCTGGGATCAGTGTGCTGGTTTATCTCTGTTAAGCTTGAGTGTAACGATTTCCCACTATAAATCGGATGACAAACTGGTTTATAATATAACATGGCGTTCTGCCATTTGCTTATTACAGGCGACTGTTGGTAATGATGGAAAAAAAGCTATTGTGTTTATGATGAGGACATTGCAACTGGTTTGGGTGTGGGTTCATTTCTATTCCTTCTTCTTAGTCAAATGCTAATAATGGTGGCTAGCCGATGCTTATGTTGTGGGAAGGCCATGAGACCAAGTGGATCTTGGGCATGGGCAGTTGTCCTATTCATCACCTGTTGGTATGTTTTTAGTTACAATAATTTAAACAATCTCGTCTTCATGGTCAAAAACGCGACTCGAACAACCTTGTCAATGACTGCATTTTACTGCTTTCTGTTAATTTCCTATCATCTAAATGTTGTGCTGCATCGGTATTTCAGGGTGTTCTTTTTCATTGCGGAAGCTTGCTTGCTGGCAGGGTCCGGGCGGAATGCTTATCACACCAAGTACAAGAACCTCTTAAACAATCCTCCTTCATGCTAGACGCTGAGAAAGGGTGTCTTTGTCTCTGTGGCTGCATTTGTTTTCCTAACAGCCATTGTCTCTGAGCTTTACTATGTGAGTTATTCGAAGGCGGATGATGCAACAATCAACTACCGCAAAGACACCGGAGCGAGGATGGGAAACATATAGACGGATGTGCTCGGGTATCGTTGTAAGGTTTCTGAATTTTGTATTCAGTGTTAATTGACCTTAATGTTTTTGCAGTAGACAAGTTGGGTGACAATGTGTAATTTGAGTATCCGTATATCTTAACCATGGACATGGACATGGACATGGACTTGTGTGTTTCCCACTTTACATTATAGGTTTCTGTCTAATCATTTTGATTGAGTAATGCATTAGTGGCATTTGATAGAGTATTTTTCAGTAATATATAGTAATCTCCATGGCAACTTAAGGGAAAAAAAAGTAGAGAGAGTCAGTTGAAACTGGAGACTGTCCATAAATAATTTTGCAGGTGATGTACGAGGAAATATGAAAATGACTTGTTTTTAGAATTTAAAAGTATGACGCGAAGCCGACCAATCATGAAACCGACGTGAAACAAACTCCTTTCATTTTTATGAAGACACCCATATTATCAGTTTTCTTACAAGTAGAAATTTCTTGATTCAGTCATGCAAAACATATTAAAAAGGCAACCTAAAATTTAATCTAATCTACCCTTGTACATATTCAGTTCATAGTACAAAATTCCGTTTATGTGGTGAAATAATAATTGCTACTTGTGCAGCTGCACAAAGCAATGAAACGTCAGATCGTATTGAAACAAAGATTTCGGTGCCTAATAAAATACTAATAAACATTAATTAACTCCACAAGCACATTGTTTTCGACAGCCTAAGTGACAAAGAAACTAATGCATGAAACAGCTTTACAACTAGAACAGTGTCAGGACAAAGAAAATATAATGATTCAGAACAAGTGGTCATAAATTATGAAGAAACGAATCCATGTAAATATTACTTGTATTCAGATATCCAGAAGTATGCACATCCAAAAGAATCTTCAATCAAATTCAGTTTACTCAGCATAGTTGGGAGACACCCCATCACATCTCCCTCTTATTCCTTTCATAACTTAATCAAGAACAACCCTAACAAAAAATACACATTCATATATATACATATATATACATATAAGAGGTAGAGTACTAAATGTACACCGTCACCCTGAAGCTGAATTTGAAAAATGGCAGCTTCCTCATTGTTTATCAGTTACAAGTTGAAAGGGGAGACTACATAATTAATGATCAATATAAAAGAAATAGACACCAAAAGAAGGGGGGGGTGGAGGGGGGAAGTTCTTCATCAAATAAGAAAACCTAAATCAAGAAAAAAAAAAAGCTGTAGAGAATGGATATATGGTTAAAAGACCTTGTTCATGGTTTGATCTCATAATCATCCCATGGCATGTTGAGATCAGTAGAGACAAGTGCATCGATATCATCCAAATTCCAGTAGTTTGCTATGTCCATGTCGCTGCTTGTGATAGGTACTTCCCATGTGAGTGAAACAGTGGCACTTGGGGTTGGCATGGTGATGGTTGGATCCTCCATTGTTTCACCTGTGTAGTTATAGATACTTGAAGATTGAAATGAGATCGATATTGAAGATGGGGTTGTCTCAAAAGAACATGGGTTTAAACTTGAAAATGGAAACTGTAAGCCTCGAGTTTGAGGCAAAGATGGGCCTGTTGAAGTTGAGCCCAGAAACACACCATTGAAACTTGTGCTGTCCAAGTTGCTGCAATTGATGGGATTCTGCGGCAACGATGAAGATGGTGGAACTGAACGGCCCATCACCTGAAATTGCGTACTCGATGTGTTGTTTCGATCAGCAAGTGGAAGCTGAAGATCCTGCCTTTGTTGCTGTGATCTTTGAATAGCGCCCATGAAGTTATTGAGCCTATTGTTAACTCGAGAAGCTCTCGAGCTTTTGATGGCAATTTTAGCTGTGCTAGTGCAAGCAGTGGCGGCAGCGAAAGCTACGTTGCTATTCGATGTCTTAAGCCGCTTGTTTTTGCGGCCACCACCGACAGGAACATTGCGGAGGGTGCCACCTTTAGTCCAGTGTCGTTTACAAGCCTTGCAGAAATACCTAGGCTGAGACTTGTTGTAGTTGTTGTAATAACAGAACTTTGTGTTGGTAGAATCACATCTGGGGCACTTGAGTGGCTCAGATTGCTGCTGGTGCTGTGGATGTTGTCTCTTCATTGCTTTAGGCAACTCCAGAGTTTGAGCCTGCAACAAAGATTGACTCCATCCTACACCACCACTGGAAACTTCTTTAGAACTCAGCCCCATACTACAACAGAAGAATTGATGATTGATGAGGTGAAAACTGGAAAAAGTAAATGAAAATCTAGCCTTTTGAAACTGTTCCTTATAAGCCAAACAGGGTTATGTTTTGAATATATTGGATATGGAAGGAAATTCCCTGGAAGGTGATGATAAATGAGCATGCTTTGAGCCTCTCTCTCTCTCTCTCTAAAATCCAAGCTCTCTCTTCAATATATGCCACCCTATACTAACTATTATATCTAATCTAAAGGGAAAATAATGATAAAATAAAATTGTAATAATTATAATAAGATAAAAATATAAATCTAATTTATAAATGTACAAGCAATCGTCCTCTTGCTCTCTCCAAATAATCTTTATAGTACAAAATGAGAATTCATTGGTCCTCAAGGTGAAGGTGGGGTTGATGACACGTGGGATTGCCTGGACCCTTGATAGTGGAGTGACTGTATCTATGGGCTCAAGGCTGTAAAGTGAAGGTAGACAGAGAGCCTCATGCTTATACGTATACCTTTGAGAAACAGTAAACTAAGTTATTCAAGTTTTACATAATTTCTTCCTTAGTCCTTAGTAATTGCGAAATTTTATTTTTTATAAATTATTATTTTTTGATAATTCTGATTTATTACCCAAGAAAGCATAAGGATGCTACAACATACAGAGTACAATAAACAACAGATATATAAGCCAAACACAGGTAGGCATGGCTACTAAACCCAGCAGAAACAATAGGAAAGAAACATGCAGCTAAGCAATATCCAAACGAGCACAGAGAGCAGCATTACACTCGTCAGATCTACAAATGGTACTTCTCTCCAACCGAATCCGAATAACAGCTTTGATATCCTGCAGCAGCGCATCCACTGATCGAGCACTACCTCCATAGAGCCTGCAATTCCGTTCCTTCCAAATGCTATAAACATGACCCGCCCAAGCAAGTCGGAACACTCTCGCAATGAGAGACTTGCCCTTGAAACAATAGGTCGCCCAAGATAACTCACTTTCCCAGCTACAAGCCCCTCGATACACACCACATAAAGCGAGTATTGCCCCCCATAGGTCCTTTGCAAAATTGCAGCCAAAGAACATATGGTCTCTACACTCAGGCTCAATACCACACATAAGACATTTAACATCCACGATACTTAGGCCCATTCTTAAAAGCCAAACCCGAGTAGGGAGACGATCAAGAATGGCCATCCACACAATGATGTTGTGTTTAGGAATACGCCCAGGAAACCACACTAGATACTGCCAAGAAACTTTGGGAAAGATGATACGCAAGTTATCCCGAATGCTTCTTACACTCAGATTGTGAATCGGGCCAGTAAAGAGGTGAAGAACACTTGGTCTTACTCTCAATATGTATCTGAACGACCAACTAACATTTGTGGGAATGCTCATCTGCCAGAAATCTGCACTCCCAATCACGTAGGCATGTATCCAGGCCACCCAAAGAGAGCCTTCATTAGCCAAAAGTTTCTTGATAAGAAAAACGGCGCAAGCTTTATTCCATTCCCCATAGCTTGAACCCCCAAGCCTCCTTCAGCTTTAGCAGCACAGATCTTCTTCCAACTGATACGAGCGCCTTTAGCAGGCACGTCGGATCCTTTCCAGAAGAATCTGGAGCATAATTGCTCGATGGAAAGAATAACCTTCTTGGGCAGAATGAGCTGCCTACACCAGAAACTTGCCATGCTGAAAAGAACAGCTCTGATAAGTTGGATTCTCCCAGCAAAGCTAAGGTGTTTGTTGGCCCACGAGTTCAACTTTGCCCGAATCTTATCGATTAAACTACGACAATCTTTCACTGAGAGCTTCTTGGTAACCAATTGAACACCCAGATAACGAACTGGGAGGCTGCCCAGCTTAAATCCTGTCAAATCCTGAATGGCAGCACATTGGTCTATACGAACACCAGCATGGAACATTTCACATTTACTAGCGTTAAGTTTTAACCCAGACATGGTATAGAAAAGCTCTAGAACAACGTGAACACTAATTACAGACTCAAGAGAACCTTTGCAGAATATAAGCAAATCATATGCGAAGCAAAGGTGAGTGAGGCCGACTTTCCTGCATTTAGGATGGAAGTTGAACACTCTCTTCTCAGCAGCTAAATTAAGGAGGCTAGATAATACATTCATAGCTAAGACAAAAACTTAGGGTGAAAGGGGATCACCCTGTCGGACACCCCGAGCACTTTTGAAGTAGCCTACCAAAGTACCATTGAACACAATAGAATAACTAGGATTGGAAATACAAGCCCAGATCCAACCAATGAACTTCTCGGGTAAACCAAGTGCATGCAAAACAACTTTCACAAAATCCCAGCTTAAAGAGTCGAAAGCCTTTTGTAGATCAATCTTAAGAGCACATCTCGGAGAAGCTTTCTTTCTAGAGTAACCCCTAACAAGTTCTTGTGTAAGTAATGTATTATCAATTATGCTTCTTCTTTTCACAAAGGCAGATTGATTTAATGCAATCATACTAGGAAAAACAACAGACAGCCGATTCACTAAGATTCTAGTTGCAGTCTTATAAATGACAGAACAGCAAAATATAGGCCTATAGTCCTTAACCAGACTCGGATTAGGGACTTTAGGAACAAGCACAACAGCTGTAGCATTGAAGGAAGGGAGCATGAAAGAGGAAGTGAAGAAATACCTGATAGCTGCCAAGAAATCATTTCCAACAATATGCCAGGTTTTTTTGAAAAAGAACGAGTTATAACCGTTAGGTCCAGGGGATTTATTATTGCCTTGACCCCAAATAGCATCCTTGATCTCCACATCAGAGAACTGTCTAGTTAATGCCTCGGCAGCACCCTCAGGTAGAGAATAGCCAAGCAACTCTCTGATAGTGTTGACATTACAACAATTGACCTTCGGATCAACCACCCCCAATTACTTTCGAAAGAAATTTATAGCCTCTCTGGACATATCCTCAAAAGAGTTGAGTCTAACACCATCTTGGCTATAAAGGACCCTAATGGTATTGTTCATCCTTTTGCTAGCAACCATGGAGTGGAAAAATCGAGTACTTTGGTCCCCCTCTCTAATCCAGTCTGCCTTTGCTTTCTGTTTGTAGAAAAGAAGCTCCATCTGCTCAAGGGCTTTCAACTCCTCCTCAATCTTCAGCTCATCTATAATGAGATTGCCAACAGTAGTAGCATCTAGATTTGCAAGCTGGATGGACCTCAACTCTTCCCTCTTCCTCAGAACTTGCACGGAAATGGCAAGAAGAGAAGCTCTATTAAGGTCCTTGAGGCATTTCTTTAATCTTTTTAACTTCAAGAAAAGGACCTGGGCTAGATTTCCAGTAGCTGGGGCTTGCCACGAATCCCTAACAATGGACAAAAAAATAGGGTGCATAACCCAGAAGTTAAAGAACTTGAAGGGCTTTGGCATAGCGATAGCAGCTTCCTTATGCAACCAGACAAAAGCAGGACAATGGTTTGACTCCCCAGGAGCTTGAAATTCCACCTCAGAGGATGGAAACGTCTCGGCCCAGCTATGATTAACAAGGACACAGTCAAATTTGCGAGCAAGGAAAGAGCCATGCTGCTTATTGGACCACGTGAACAGAGGGCCTATGAAAAGATGATCAAAAACCCTAATGTCCTCAACACACATTTGAAACTCAGCTACATCACTATTGGCATACGAACTAATAGGGTTAGAGCTTTCTTCGTCCTTTAAGACAACATTGAAATCGCCCCCAATCAGCCAGGCTACATTTCCCACCAATCTGTCCATACTAACAAGCTGAGCCCAAAGATGCCTGCGAGCAACACCATCGTTAGAGCCATAAACCGCAGAAATGAAAAAAGGCTTATCATTGTAACTGCCTTTGAGAGTAATGCATTGCTCAAAGATGGAACAAATAGAGCAGTCCAGATTTTCCTGCCATAAAATCCAAATTCGACCATTCTCAACATGGCCATAATTGCAACAAAAATTCCAACCCTGGAACTTTTTAGACAAGATCTCCCCCGCATTTATCTCCTTAACCCTCGTTTCCAAGAGACAAAAAATATTAATATGAAGCCTGGAAGCCCACTTCAGCATAATGCTCTGCTTTAGGGGATTGTTGAATCCCCTAACATTCCAGAAACAGACTAACATGACAAAGTTGTAGAGGAGGAGGGACCACCCCGGTCCTCAATAATTTTAACCTTCTCCAACTGATCATTCTTTTTAAGCTTCATATCTTGCACAACTTTTGCAAGTCCCAAAGCAGCCCCTCTCTGCTTCTTACCAGAGTCAACAAGAGGGACGCCAACCAAACTGTTAGGGTCAATCGAACTAAGAACATCAAATTTATTCTTGGACCCTCCACCCCTAGCTTTATCTTTGGCAGGCATGCCTCTACCTCTATTCACATAAGGATCAATGACTAGAGCAGGATGCTCAATCTGCTTTGAACTTTGATCAGCTAGTGCCTTATTATTATGAGTTAAAGTAGTAACCAAATTTCCAGTAAGAGTCTCATTTGGCACTACACTAGCAATTGGATCCCCATTATGAGCCCCATCAACCTCTAAAATAGCAGCAGAAGTCAGATTAGTAGAATTTCCAATCGGACATATCTTAATACTAGAGAAATCAGGTAGTCCATTAACTGAGGGAAGATTCAAGCAAACTGGAGCAGCCAAACTACCTCCCTTAGAACTCATCACAGAGGCAGATTTAACACCCTTAGATGAGTCCTTTACCCTCCAAACCTGTTCAACTTTCTTCCCTTGAGTGCATAACTTCGCCAAATGACCAAATCGATGACAGTCTGCACAATAGTTAGGCATCCAAGGCACAGAGACTCTAACCTTAGCTATTGAATCATCACATAACATCACATCTATAAAATCTGGGATCTGCGAACCAGCCAAGATTTCAACACAAACTCGTGCATATTCCAATCTATCTCTTCTAGCCGTGATCGAATCCATGTGGAGTGGTTTCCCAATTGCACTAGCTACATAGTTTAGCCCTTTCTTCGAAAATAACTCCAGTGGCACGTTATACAGATGGATCCAAACAGGCATACAATGTAAATCAAAGCTCAATTCCTTCAAATTAGGTTCCCACTTCCTAAGACAAATTGATTTATGTTGAACATGCCATGGATCGTTCTCTAAAACCCAGTCCCTAGCCAAAGAACTAACAAATGAGAAGACAAAAAGATTTGGTCCAGCTAAACTTACTTTCACCAGAGACTGTTTTCCCCATAGCAGACCCACAGTCTTCTTAATAGAAGCGGCGCTGAACCGATGAATTGGCCAACCATGGCGTTTCTCCACTCCAAAATACCCTTCTCAAACACAAATCGAGGAGGTTTAACTACACAATAACCCTCGGTCGTTGAAGGAGGGAAGAAGCTCAGTTCTTGCTCATTCCTTGCCGAGAAGAGTTTCCTCCAATCCGAAACACCTTCAGCCGCCATAACCTAGCAAAAACCCCAAGAAAGAATTTGAAATTACAGAAGAAAGCAAGAATCAAAGCAAATCGAAGAAGATGGCCCGTCTTCAATCGCTATTAGCCCAGCTAATATGCACCGAGAGAGAAGAGCTTAACGTACGCCGTCTTCATTTTTTTTCATTAATTATTTATTTTATTAATACTATTTATCATGATATTTTATCTATATTTATTTTATTCAAAAATTTTATGTTATTAATATATGTGTCTATTCTTAAAAAACATTTATAAATCCGTGCTTACCAATATATACATATAACATATATAATTATAACATCCTAGTTGCAACCCTAAAATAATCCCATCCAAAAGAATAGATAATTTATAAAAAAGAGTGGTCATGCATGCTGCAAATTGCAATAGTATGCTGTCATGAAATTAGAATGTTTTAAAAGTTTGGGGACCAATATAGAATGAATGTCAAAGTTTGAGAATGAAATTGAACTGTTTAAAAAGTTTGGGGACCAATATAGAATAAATGTCAAAGTTTGAGAATGAAATTGAAATGTTTAAAAGTTTAAGGACTAATTTATAATAATAATCATAGTTTAGGGATGAAATTTTTTTTTAAAAGTGTAGGTACCAATCTAGAATGAAGAGCATACTTGGAGGACATGTGATGTAATTAACTCTTTTTTAATTTTACACATATTTAATATATTTGATGAATGAAAATAAAAATGTGAGATTAACTCTTTATTTTTTTAATAAATATATTCTTATTTTTTATTATTAATCTTAATATTTAATTTCACTCATTTAACAATTTTAAATCTATATAAAATTAATGAGATGTTTTCTTTTTATTTGTGTGTGTGTAAGAGAGAGAGAGAAATGAAGAGAGGCCAATCAGTATGGAGTTAAAACGAGTTGGCACCACGTGATGAGTGGAGTGGTAGGTGATGCACAGCCCTAGAGGTTTGTGATGACCCTAACTCCTAGAGCCATATGCATGTGATTGCAAAACTTGTGGGATCACTCATGTGTGACTCATCGGCTCCAAGTTGTCTACAAATTCCCCTGTATTATTGCTTGCTACAGCCAGCGTTAAAGTGTCATTCGATTTTACAGTTCAATAAACACTGCAAAATATAAAGTGCTGAATAATAAACAAATACAGTACTGGTTTGGTTTGGTTTGGTATAGAATTTTTCAAATTTAATTATGTTACATAAATGTATTTTCTAGTTATTAAAAAAACCATAATTTCCCTATTATTTTTAATATGTTTAGTTTTTATTTACTTTTTAATTTAATATTCAAACTTTATTCAATTAAACACTCAAAATTTAATTTGGTATTTAACTTCTTATCCAATTAGTTATTTAGTTCGACTTTTTGTTTCAAATTGGTAATTGAAATTGGATTCATGATTCAAATTACCTCAAATAAGTCATTTGGCGTGAGTGTTGATTTGAATTAAGAAATTAAATTCAAGTATCAATTTGAATAAAAAAATAAGTTCAAAAACATAATTGTTCCAAAAAGAATTTTGAAATTAAGTTCAGAATACTAATTAGGGATAATAGTTCAGAATGTGAATTCATATTTTTTTTAATAAAAAATATGTGTTTACTTTTAGGGGCGTTTGGATGGGGGAATGTGGGATTCCCCCGGGAATGGAATCCACATTCTCCCGTTTGGTTTGGCCGGGAATGTTATTATCGGTA